CCAAAGTGCTGGGATTACAGGCCTGAGCCACGGCACCTGGCCGGGCTTAATATATTTTTGTGCATGGAAGTCACATTTTTATAATGGTGACAAAAATATGTGAAAATTGAAGTTTGAAGTTTTGAGTAGAGACCATGATATAGTAGATGAGCTACTCCTAGATTAAATCATCAAATGCAGATGTCAAAACTTATATCCAAGAACCAGTTCCACGACTGTTGCATGCCTCACCCATCTCAAGAGTATAAAATGTAGATGGAGGATATGTTTTTTTGTTTTTGTTTTTTTTGTTTTTTGTTTTTTTTTGAGAGGAGAGTGCTAATTGTGGACAGAGATTTCCTTTGGAAGAGTGGTAGGCTATACTGAGGAGCACTCATCATAGTATTCCCAAATTGGAAACAACCTATATGTCCATCAACAGGAGAGTGGATAAATCGTGATGGATTCATACAATGGAATAGTATGTGGCAATAGAAAATCTACACTTCTGATGCACATAACAACATGGATGACTTTATAGAATACTATTGAGTGAAAATAGCTAGATGCCAAAGAGAACATACTACCTGTAATCTATTTGTATGAAGTTCACAAGCTGGTAAAACTAATTTACAGGGCTAGAGATCATAACAGTAATCTTTGAAGAGGTAATAACCAAGAGGTGGCATGAGGGAGTGTGCTGAGATTCTGAATTGTTCTATGTCTTGATTTAGATGGTGGTTAAACATACGGCATGCACATGTATATCTATGTAGATGTGCATACAACCCATGGGAGAAGAGAATTTTAGGAAGAAAGCCTTATTTTTTAAAAATTTTGTCCTCAAGGAGTTTAACAAACCAATTAATTCTAGGGATCAGTTCTATATTTTTCTTAGTTTTTCAGCAGGCATATAGAAATACAGAAGTACCAAGTGTACAACCTGGGAGCATGGCCACTATTTAGCCTTACTCAGACATTAGTCCTAGGATCTACATCTTCAAAATTGTGAAGTAGTGCAAAAAGATGAAGACAACTCATGGATGACACTGGATTTGTTAAGAAGATGTCAGAGACTGGTAGTTTCTGAAATTAGTTTCTTCCCTGATTCATTTACCATTTTCCCACCTTCATTAGTGATGAATAATAATGTTAACATATTTTTACTCTATTTCATCTGTCACCTGTTTTACTCTCTTTTTAATGTACCAGAATCTGAAACTGTCTTGATGATTTACTAAATATCTGTGTCATCCTTATATTAGTTATCTATGGCTATTGTAAAAAATTACCATAAACTTGGTAACTTAAAACAACATAAATTTATTCTCTCACAGATCTTAAGGCCATAAGTCCAAATCAGTGTCACTGCACTGAAATAAAAGTGTCAGCAGGGCTGGGCTACCTCCAGAAGCTCGAGGATAATTTGTTTTTTTGCCTCCTCTAGCTACTAGTGGCTGCCAGCACTCCTTGGCTAGTGGCTGCATCATTCCAGTCTCTGTCTCTGTGGTTATATTGCCTTCTCCTTTTATGTCTGGGTCAAATCTTTCACTTCTCTCTTATAAGGATACCTGTGATTGCACTGAGGGCCCACCACATAACCCTGGATAATCTTCCCATCTCAAGATCCTTAACTTAATCACATCTGAAAGATGCTTTTCCAAGTAAGGTTAACATTTACAGTTTCCAAGGATTAGGATCTGATATCTTTACGTGGCTATTATTCAGCCCACACATCCCTCTACCAGAATGTAAATTCCATGGGAACAGAGCCTTTGTACGTTTTTTTCACTTCTGTGTCTTCAGTGTTTAGAGGAGTTGTGAACAAGAATGCCTGGTACATAGTAGGCAGTCACTAAATATTTGTAAATTTAATTACTTTTTTTTTTTTTTTTGAGACAGGGTCTCATTGTGTCATCCACGCTGGAGTGTGGTGACACAATCACTGCTCACTGCAGCCTTGACCTTCCGGGCTCAAGTGATCTTCCTACCTCCGCCTCTGAGTAGCTGGGACCACAGGCACCCACCACTATGCCTGGCTGGGTAATTTTTGTTTTTTAAAGTTTTTTTAGAGACAGGATCTTCCTATGTTGCCCAGCCAGGTCATGAACTCCTGGGCTCAAATAACCTTCCTGCCTCGGCCTCCCAAAGTGCTGGGATCACAGGTATGAGCCACCATGTCTAGCAGTCACTGAATATTAATGAATCACTTTGATCATCTTCCTGTGGAATGGGGAGTTTTTGTTTTATTGAGAAAGACATACCTATTACCATTAGCTGTAATTTATAGTGATAAGTTTTGGCTTATCATCAGAGATAATATTTTAATAACCAGGCCTATTCACCTACAGGCCAGGTTGTTTCATAAAGGAAGAAACTCCTTGAATGTGGATGTATTCAAATAACATTTGAATAATTATCTGTTAGAGATGCTATAAAAGATATTTTATACAATGTCTAGAATTCTTATAAACCTTTTGTCTATTAGTTTTAAAAACATTGAAGACCATTCCTCTAATTTTTGACCCCGTTAAGAGCATTGTACATGACAATCCACAAAGATATATTCTTTTTGGTGGATCAGCTCTATTTTTCTTTAGTATGTCAGAGTATCATACTGGAAGCTCTCAATGTTAACATGGTCCTCCTCACATAGAAAGTTTTTTTTTCTTTTTCTTTACAGAATGGCTCTAAGTCTTTAAATTATAACTTTTAACCCAGAAACTTACCATATGTGTAAAATATGATCACTAAAATAATGCAACTTTTTGTTTTGTATAACATTATCCTATTGATGTACCCATATCCAAATGAATGTCTCTTAATCAAAGCAGTCATCTCAGAAATTGATAGTGAAAAATGAGAAATTTTCTTCTAGACTTCTCTTCATATAAAATCACATATGAAAACTAGGCCTATGAGTTTAGCTAAATCTAGTTTTTGGCTAAAGTAGTTATGTCGGTTGGAATTTTTTTGTTTGTAAGTAACAAAATACACTACCAAGGTACCTTATTATTATTTTCCATAACAAGAAACCTAGAAGATAGGCTGAAAAAGTGTAGTAGTTCCAAAAATCCTGTTCTTACCCAATAATAACAGCAAAGGAAAGGAGGAGGAGGACTCTTCTGTATCTCTCCTTTTTTCTTTTCCTTTTTTTTTTTTAAATAGTGGGGGGAGGGTTTTTTTACAAATGTCTTCCAAAGGACACTGTCTTCTGTCTCATTAGTCAGGTGGATCACATAGCCATCTAAGGAAGACTGGAAAAGAAATTTTCTTGCATTTTAACTGCCCTTATGTACAAGAAGGGGTTAAGTCTGTCCCCAATGGAAGTAGATTCTTCACACTAACAAGTACATATCCTCTTTCTTCGAATTCTTATGAACAAATCTGGTGAATCGAAAATGGGTGGTGGCAATGGTGGTGGGGGACTGGGGAAAGAATTGGGTACTAATACTTAACTGGGTACCTATAATTGTGGGCTAGCCCTACCTGCAGATGAAGAGACTGAGGTTCTACATACAAAACTTATATAAGGTAAATTGGGTAGAAAGTAGTGACGCTTCCAGCACGGATCGTCATCTAATGATGATGGTGACGATGACGGTGATAATTACACTGGTTAATATTGAGCGCTTACTACACACCAGGCATTGTACTATCTACTTTATGCTGATTATTTCATTTAATTTTCAACCCTACAAAGGCAGTAGTCTGTTTTATAGATGAACAAACTGAGGCTCAACGACATGTATCTACTAAACCTGTGATTAAACTCCAGTGTTGCCTCCAGGTCTGGGCATTTCTTTACACTGTTCTACTTCCCTGTTCTAATGCCCACATGGTCTCCAAGACTACTGCCTCTGGGCTAAGCACTTTGTTAACTTAAGATACTTCATCTGCAAAATGGGGATAATTACACTTCATAATTCCTAAGAGTAGTAAAGGTAATAATAAATTTAAAGTGATTAACAATGAAACAAACATAGCAGGACAGCATTATTACTTTTGAACTTATCTCACTATATTGTAATTTTCATTTATGCCGTTTACCTACGCTCCTGGACTGAGATTATCCAGGGCAGCAGTTCTTAAATGTTTTGGACTCAGGGCCTCTCTATAATGTTAAAGAATTACTGTGACCTCCAAAGAGCTTATGTTTATGTGGGTTACACCTATGACTACTGCATTGAAATGAAAACTGAGAAATGTTTTAAAACAACAACGACAAGCTCCCTTAGCTGCCAGAGATGACGTCGTACACAAAGCATATCCTCCAGGAAACGGTATACTTGTCTGTATTATCATGAAAATGGTTCTGAGGTCATCGGGATTTCCTGGGGTCCCTAGACCATACTTTATGAGAACTGCTGCCTTAGGGTAAAGATGGGGTGCCCGGAGGTTGGCGCTCAGTAGCGTTTGATGAACGAACCATGGGAGCCTGGAGTTGTTCAGATGAGGAAACCGAGAGTTAAAGGGGCCGAAATAAGCAGCGCCAGAGCTCCACTGTATTCACGGCCGCTACTGCGGCATCCCGGCAGCCTCGGCCCTTAGCAGATGTCCCCTCATCCGCCCCGAGGCACCCTCTTCCCTAGTCTGGTTTTTCAGGGGCCATCTCTGGCGCGCCCCGCCAGGCTGCCAGCGTCCCTGGTGCCCGGAGACAGGCCCCGCCCCGCCGCCGGTCCTCGAACTCCTGGCTGCCAGGCAACCCTGGCGCATAGCCCGGGCGTCACTGCTCCACCCCGTCAGGCTGAACCATTCCCTTCAGAGACTTTCTCAAGAGGGAAGGAGAAAAAGGAACTTGATGGAACGCCTGAAAGCTGTTCTGCTGCCGTTTTCTCTCCTTAATTTGAACGAACACTTCTTTTCTTCTTCTAGCCAACTACCTCCTGAAGGGCAACGCAGCAATTCGCCTCTCCCGCCAGCATGTCCCCCCCACCAGTCCAGGGCCGCGAGTAGTTCGGCTCGTCAGGGAGGCCGGCGGTCGGCGGCGGTTGGCTCTGAAGCGGGGGCGCGCGCCCGACGTGCGCGTAGGGGGCGGGGCCGCGCGCAGAGGGCGGGGAGGTGGGCAAGATGGCGCCTGCCGAGTGATCCTCCTCGGATCCCTCCTGCCGGCGCGGAGACACCGGGGCGGGGGTCCTGCAGCCGCTACCTCCCTTCCTCCTCTCCCCCGCCCCGGAGCCTTCCTCCTTCCCTTCCCCCCTCCACCTAGGGGGGCGGGCCTGGTTCTCGGGACACCATGTCGGACTCTGAGGAGGAGAGCCAGGACCGGCAACTGAAAATCGTCGTGCTGGGGGACGGCGCCTCCGGGAAGGTCAGTCCTCGAGCAGGCCCGCCGTCCCTGGCCTGCAGGAACCCCGGCGCTCCCCGGCCTCCTCCCCGCCGCCCGGCGTCGCCTAGTTACCCCAAGCTCTCGGGCTTCTAGGCCCGGGCCCGTCTGGTTGTGTGGCCTGAGGCCAGACACGAAATGGGCGCTTGGTGAAGGCCGACGCTGTCCAGCTCCCCCTTACAAAAAAGTCACTTCCTAACTCGCCGTCTGGATTGCGAACTCCTGCAAGACTCGGGCCAGCCTTTCAGCTTCCCGCCTCTCAGGACTGGCAGGGATTTGCCAAGGCATCTTAGCTCCTCTTACTTGTAGTCCAGGTCACACTTGCTCCTCCCCTCCCACCCCCTTTACCGTTTCTGATGCTTCCACTGCACCGTGAGCCCCCAGGAGCGTGACTCTGGGATCAGTATTTCCCGGGTGAGAATAGGGGGCTCCGCCACTTAGTCGTCGAGTCATTGGAGGGCAAATTGCTAATCAGTTTGAGCTTCATCTGTAAGATGGGTATTGAAAAGGGCCGCCGCAAAGGGAGAAATGTGAAAATACATATTAAATGTGAAAATACACATAAAACCTTTAGAGCACAGTGTCCACTCTATACACGTTAGTTGCTATTTTAGTATCATACCTGTTCATCACCTCTGTTTCCAGCTCAGCACTCGGTACAAGCAGTCGGTCAACAAGTGTTTATAGAGCTCCTGTTATGGGCAGGATGCTGAGGCTAGAGCTGCTTGCGTGACAGAAGGGATCCCTGGTCGAATGAATGAGAGTATCAGGCAGCATCAGTCTTATTATCTCCTAGGCAGCGGCTCCTACCCCAAGGTTGTGAAACTCTTGAAATGGACTGAAAAGTGCCCGGTGTTTGCTCTGGGGAGACGGTCCATAAGATCTCAGAGAGGTCTGTGATCCCTCCACCAACAAAGTGAAGAGCCTCTACCCGGTTGCCTTCTTACGTATGCTTCTGTCAAAGGCGCCAACACTTTCTGGGATTATTGCTAAAGTTTATCTCCCCTCTACTCCCCTCCCTTATCCCAACCATAGTCTAAAGAAACCCAGGCTCTGTTTCCTGTTTAAGGCTTCATATTTCCCTGTTGCTGGTCGCAGTTTGGACCCTGGTTTCTCTGGTGACAACTTCTCTTTGCATCCTCCCTGGCATAGCTGCTTCTGCCTTTGGTTCTGACATTTGAGTTTCGAGGTCCCCTGGGAAAGATGTAAAATTTCATATGCAAAATTTGGAGTATTTTGTTGTTTTTTTTTCTTGTCTTCTTGGATCTTTTGTTACAGATTTTTAAAGCTGAGGAAAACAATATGCTATGATTACATTTAAACTTTGGGGGAAGAAAGGAACTTGGGGTAACTTTTCTTTATAAAGTATATTAATTTTTGTATACTTAGTAAACTTTTCGAATGAATGAATTGCTATAAATAAATCATCATTGTTTCTAACACCTTTATTCAATAAGAAGTTTGTTAGATTTTTATAGTTTCCTCATCATTTAGATTTTCTTTTGAAGGCCGTCTACAGTTTTGGCTCTTAAATTTTACTGTATTCAATTCATAACTGTTCTTATTTCCCTTTTAAAATGATAATGACAACGCATAACATAATACATTTGTAAAAAGACACAAAAATTGCTGGTTATCCTATATGCTATCATAATTCTTTAAACTTTTGTTCGTTTTTCTAACGGTATTTATTGTACATATATTACTCAGTGAAATTTGTTCATAATTTTGGGTCTGAGTTTTTTATTTAACCTATCATACACGTTTTCCCTTTGTTGCTAATTTAGTGTGAATGATTACAGTTTTTTATTTCTGTTTAAAATTTTTTCTGGTATAGGACAGCATAATTTTTTTCACTTCTATGTTTTAGAGTTAGTATTATCATTCTGCTTCAAAGGATAACAGTAATATTTTTTATGGTGCTCTGACTTAATCTTCATCATCTTGCCTAAATAACTTATTTTAAAACTGTAACAGTTTTTTCTAATAGGAACTTCCAGACGCAGACATCTGACACCTAACCTTCTTTCATTATTCTTAAATCAAGAATTTTTTTCTCCATACCCTATTAAGTTCTCAAATACTTGGCAGCCACCAACATTCCCATTCTTTTTCCTTTATTGTCCTTTCCTTTGTGAACTCAGCCTCTCTTTCATTCTTATTTGTATCCTGATTTAACTCTTGGCTCTTTTTTCCTAGCATTTGTTTTTCCTGCTCAATCTAACTCTGAGCATTTTTCAACACACTGACAGATGCAGTAGAGTATTGAGATGATGACTTAACAGTTTCTCCAAGAGAAATTTAGCTCCTCCCTCCAGTATCACGTGTTTCTATTTCTTTCCTTTTCTGATTCATATTTTTTCTTTTATTACATAATCTCTTAAGAGCTTTTTAAGGCAAAATATTCATTTTTTCTGTCTTTCCAGTGTTTGTAAATGTAGTATGGTTAAAAAATGTTCGTAGAAATTTACCAAATCAAAAATGTTAGTAGAAATTTTCCAAATCAAAAAATATAAAGATTCAGATAAAAATATTTCTGATATGGAAGCTAGTTGTTCACTTAATACCTGTAATTAAGAAGGATATTTATAGAGTGACTTGAGAAATTATTGAATGTGTAAGATTGTATGCAGTCTAGATAATTGAAGAGAAAGTGACCAACACTGGTTCAGTTGATTCTCTGTTCAATTTTTATCTCAAGATATTAGGAGATGATATAGTAAGAACTTGCTTTAATACTCTGTATGTTCCCAGTAACCTGTATTTTTGACAGTTTATACTCGATTCCAGTTGAAAATCCCAACTTTATATTTGCCTCAAAAGTGTGAAAGCAGGGCTTTCAAAATCTAGAAGTCACTTTTTCAGGAAAAGAAACTTCCTTAGAAGTTTTCTGAATACTCCTTAATATGAAAATATTGAACTCTGCGGTTCTTTAAAATGAAAAATTATCTCAAATGACATTATGTGGCTGTTACACATGCCTTCAGTTTCTCTTTGACCTTTAACTATCAGTCTATTAAATATTTTGAATTACCTGTAATAATATAAGTAGTGATAGTTATTTTTTTCTAGAATTCTGAACCTCATCAAAGATAATTTTGTGGTGTAAGTTAGATAAGGTCAGTAGAATAATATAGTGTAAATGAGAAACAAAAGTCTGTAAAAAGAAATACCTATCTTTTCAATTCTGATCTCTCAGTTTTGATATTGTTACATGTGTCAAAAATACAACAACTGTGTTTGTTGCTAGATGTCTAGCAGAATATCCTTCACATGGTAGTGCTCAACAAATACTTGGCCAATTATCTTAGAAATTTATTACAAATGCTGGGTGTTTAAACACAAAAATATTTGGAATTACGGTGTCCAAATTGCCATTTGTGTGAAAAATATTGTTCTGTGTAAAAGGAAATTTAGATGAACTTGTTAAAAGGAATTGAAGTTTGGCCAAATTTTCTTTTGCACTGTTGTACTACTTATGTCATAATGAACTGTAATCAACTGTCTTAGAAATTTTATCTTAGTTTTCATTATTTTAAGAGTTGACATGTAATTTTAACTTTTAAAATAGAAAACAGCTATTTTCTCTTAACATAGAGAGCCTGTCTTGAAGAGCATAAAAGCTAAGTGAAGTTGCCTTTCTCTTTTTTGGAGGAAGTTTATAAAAAAAATAGTGCATTTAAAATGTTTAAGAATTTGTTGAGTTATTGTTATTTATTTGTTACTAGAAAATTCTTCTTTTGCTTTGATAAGAAATGATACTTTAAAAAGAAAACTCCAGAGTTTTTGACTAAAACTTTGAGTTTCTATTTAAAAAAATGTATATCTGTTCTGGTTATAATAGCTTGTGACTTCTTGGCATTATGGTTCTTGGATGGAAAATATTCATTTTGTCTGCTTTATATTAATCTTCAAAATACCAACTTCTTTATTTAAAAGATACATATTGTCACAGTCATTCTTTAGGGTCATTTTCAATTAACATCTTTAAAAATAAAGAAAAATTACACATGATACTTTTCCTGTGGGGAAAAGAAAAATTCTGTAAGCAGGTTTCTCCCTCCTTAATTAATGCTTCTTATTATTAGCTGAGGGCTCAGCTACCCTTAGAATATTTAGCCTCAGAAACTGATCTAAGTTAGATAAGATCTTTAATTATGTTTTAAAATAATTCAGATCTTTATTATTATTATTATTATTATTTTTTTTCTGTTGATAACTCTCAAATTCTGATTTTCAGCAAGGAAAAGGATCTTGACAAGCAGGGGATTTAAAGAGATCTAACCCATTAGTTTATTGTCCCTACCGATAGCTGCTGGCCAGTGAAATTTACCTGGTGGTGTTAAGTCTCTCCCGGCCTTGTAACTGATTAGAACTACTTAAAGTTGCTTGTTGGATTAATTGGAGTATACATGTTAAGATTGCTTAATAAGATTTAGTAGTGGTCTTATGATTACATTTCTTTAATGAATTAATTTTGACATTCTGTGCGTCAATTTTTTAGACCTCCTTAGCTACGTGTTTTGCTCAAGAAACTTTTGGGAAACAGTACAAACAAACTATAGGACTGGATTTCTTTTTGAGAAGGATAACATTGCCAGGTAAGAGACTAAAAAGTCTTAACGTAGAAGATTATAAAAAAATCTTACAATAAATGCCATAAGAAAGAAATGTGTAAAATTTTGGGGCTGCTTCTACATGAAGATGTATAGAATCAGTATATTTATCTTAGGGAGGTTAACTTTCATCACAATCTATCATGAAGGCATATTGTCCACGGGTGTGAGAAAAAGTTTATATACTCTCCCACTCCTTCCCTGTTTTTGGCTACTATACATTTTTTGAGGATAAACAATGGTTGCTTATAAAATTCTGAAAAGCTTTTAAAAAATTAAGTGCTATACATTTGTCAACAGATATTGTATTAACAAAATGTGAAAAGATTGGGAAGGATTATTTTTTAAAATATTATTTTGATTTGCCTCTACTTTAGTTTTTTTGTTTAAAGTTGGAACAGAAGTATAATGTAGCTATGGAACTTCTGTGCTCTAATATGTGAATGCTGTTTTATGCAAGGCAGCATGAAATTGCTGGCATTTAATAGACCACTAAAATTTAGGGTCCCTAGGCACTCATAAAAATACAGTTTGAGCATTCAAGATGTTTCACTTCACCATGCAAAGAAACTATTTAGATGCCAGTTGCAGCACATTTTGTGGGAAATACGGGGAAATAATAACAAAGAAAGAGTGGTTTATGTTTTAAGTTAGTTTCTGAACAATTGGGGCTTTAAAATGCTGTCCTTTTAATTTCAATGGTTAAATTATATGTTTAAAGTATTTTATTAAAAGCAGTTTATCTTGATTGACTTTATAAACCATCCGTCCCTCTCCTCTGTGAGGAAGCACATTTGGAGAAAACAGTTGCAAGTGTAATGTCAGATTCATGTACTGAAATGTGAGTGATATAGTGGGAAGGGGTTTAATACATTCCAATTATTATTGAAATATGTTAACCTCTCAGACACCCCATCTATCAGACAACTCCCCATGAAAGTTTTAGAGTAGCTAATGAAAACTCTTGGTAATGGAGGTATTCTTCTTATCTCCTTAGTAATATACTTTGTTCTATTTTGTGATGGTTTGTATTTGGCTACCAGTGAAAAATAGATTAGGAGATATCCCATGAGAAAAAAAATAATTTCAATTTTTCCATTACTGGGTTATTGTTCAGCAAGAGGTTTAAGGAGAAACATATGCGTACTTTGTTTCATTTGTATTTTCTTTTAATGTATCCAAAACTGAAAACGTCATTTTAATTTTATTATTCTTCGTCTTACCGATAATCTATGCTGCATTCAGAATTCTTAATAGCAGTCACTAGCCGAATACATACACAAATCACATAATATAGAGGCTGGAAGCTTATTTTTGCAGCAGTTTTTTTCACAGATGCCAGTTGTACGCAGAGAGTCTCAATATAATATTTTGCTATTAGCTATTTTGTTTTGATGCTTAATTTGAAAAACCACCACACCAACTTTTTGTCTCATTACTTTTAATATTTCTCATTTTTTAGTTGAAAAACTTAAATAAAGAAACAAGTACCTACTCAAATATTAAAAACAAAGACTGGTTTTTAGACATTTCATACAGGCGATATATGTGATGATTTCTGACCTGTAGCACAGCACTACCAATTTAAAAATTTTGATTACTTTGTAAAAAATATTTGATATTCTTGAAATCTAGATTAATAGTATAATATTTTAGACTTACACAGTACTTAGGTTAAAAAATGAAATTAGAGCATGTATACTCTTAGTGAATGTATATTTTAATTTTCCTAGTTAAGTTTTTATTTTGATGGTTAAGTTCCAGAAAAAAAGTTCTATTTTTTTTTAAGGCAGTTGGTTTTATGCTACTTAACAGACTCAAACTTATGGTAGAAATTTCAGTAAGAAAAAAATATTTTAATGTATTTTGTTTTTATATAATTAATAAGTATATTAAGAAATGAGGTGAATAAATTACAAGGTTTATAATTATTCTTTATATACTTTAAATTCATTATAACTGTCAAATGTAGGATCATTAATATATCATTAGCTGAATAAAACATTACAGGTAGCTTTATTGAATTTATAGCATAGTCAGTGAATCTAATATTTGTTAGTAGTCTAGTAAGTCCTCTGACCAGTTAGATTGTTAGGGGTGTAAACCTCCTGTCCATCTATTTACATTCTCTTCATGCAAGTTTTCAAGATCATTACTTTGCAAATACTCATCCATTTTAGTATATTTCATGATCCGGTATGCTGTATAGTCTGGATGCAACCACTGTGCAGATTTTACTGCTTAAAATAGTGTATCTGTTAGTCAGAGATTCTGCTGATAGAGCTTCTTAAGAGTCTTAGTCAAATACTTTCAGGAAGCTTGTGGGTACAGTCCAGTAAACAGCGTTCTACTGTGAAAAAGATTTCTAAGTCTTTAGTACAAGAAGTGGGCAGACTTGTGTTTTTAGTTCCATCTTGACTATGCAGCACTTTAAGTAAGGTTAACCAAGGCACCAAGTGTACTTTTACAAGGTCATTGTTGAATCCTCTTGGTGGCTTTAATTCATACCAGAAGCAACTTACCTGTGTTTTGTCACCTCATTTATTTTATTTTTTCTTCTAGTTACATGTCATTTCTTACAGAGGAGCAGGAATTTTGTAGCATTCTGGGTTTGGGATTAGATTTCTGACAATTTCCTTAATGTTCTGTATCGGTTAGAAATTTGTATTAGATAGATTCTTGATTTAAACAAAATTATAATATTATTTGAATATTCTTATATAGCTTTATAGGTGTGTCATCTTGAAAATATACTAGGAGAATTCATATGTTTATGCCTGCAAAAACAAAAATGAATATTGATTTGAATCATATCCTCATGCGATTTTGCTCCTCAAATAAGGAATCTACATTTTATTTTTAGCTTTATGTGTTAATAATCCTAAAATTAAAATATGGAGTTAAAAATATATTTCTAGATATAAGAAGTAATATGAAGTTAATATCATTTGTTGAAACTGTAAAGATAGTAATTTTTTGTTAGCATTCTATATTAGTGGACTATCAGTAATTCGTAGCTATTTTTATTTCTGAGTCACTATAATTTATATGTTTAAAAAAACAGGCAAACACTGACAACAGAGTTTATTTGGAAAGGCATGCGTTTAAAAAGTATCCTCAACACATGAATATGGGAGACAATTGGATAGATAGATGATTTAGGGTCTTGATATGATTGTAGTCAGAATTTGAAAACATGTAATGAAGATCATGTTCCTGAAATTGTAGTCAAAGTGTTCACAACACCTCATTCAGATAGGATCTGAATATCAGAACTTAAAGAAGAAAGCTTTATATTTTTTGTTGTGAGCTTAAGCAATAAGGACTATTGACTCTGAAAAAATGGGATTAAACACCTTTTAGTGCTTATTTAGTATTGCCTAAAATCTTCCTCTGTAAAAGTTAGTATTGTTAAGCACTGTCTTTTGAAGTAATCAAATAACTCTAAAGAGTTGTGCAAGTAAAATGAATAGCCTACTGCCTGCTTAGGGGTTTCTGAAACTATTATATATACTTCTTAGTGATGGCTAGCCCTTTCTTATCTGCTTAATTTGAGACAGCATTATAGAAGAATTATTTCAGCCTTGAATGTCAAAAAATTTAGATTTTTAAGAAATTCGATTTGTATAAGTTTTTGGACACATCTTAGTCTGTGACGTTTTGGTTTTTGTATTCATAGGGCTTTAAGAACATTTTGGTCATTAGTGTAAGTGTAGAAAGTATGTGTCTGTAGGAATAATGGTGGTGATAAAACATTAGCGCTCATTAATGCTAATGGAAGTTCCTCGTGGAAATCCTCTGCACGGTGGCAGATGGAACAACCTATGTTTAAATAATGGAAAGATTGTAATACAAACTCACCAAAATTTATAAAACTGTGCTGGTTAATCAAATGTCTTTTTCTTTTCAGTTGCATAGTTAAATGGTATGACTAACTGTCTCTGATTTTAGTGTTTTATGTTGGCGTATAAATTTATATCTTTATAATCTTTTTTTTGAAATGAGATCATTTTTCAGTTTCTAACCTTTTATTTTATATTCTTTTGATTTGCAAATCATTCAGAAAGTGCTAATTGAGACTCTGGAGAAAACTCCATAATCTTATGAGGGATATAGTTTAAAATGTTCAACTAAATAGCATAGTTTGGCTTTTGTAAGCATACTCATCAGTTGCATTGAGAAGAGAGAACAGCTTATCTCATAAATTTTTGTATCAACCAAATATTTTACAAAATGCATGAAAGGATTTTAAAGATTCCCTTTTAGAATGCTTTTATAATGCTCATAGGGGAAGATGATTAGTTACACTATTTTATGAAGGCTTGGAAGTATACATAGTTTGTTTAAATGGAAATGCTTTGAACAAGTTTGAATACATTGTAATATTTAGTGATATACATGGTATGTATCCTACATTTGTTCTGAATAGGGCTATCAAATGTGTTTCTATTTTATGGGTTAAATTTGAAAACACAATTTTTTGGTTATGTTTGCCATATCCTAGAGTAGCTGACAATCACATTATAAAAAGATTCATTAATTTGAGCTGAAATTATGGGTGCATTTTTATAGTTTGCTATTGTTCCATGAGTTTTAGAACCCATAGAGTTTAGAACCTACAACAAAATTCATATATATGATTGGGTGGTTGAGTATTTAAAGCTTCAGTTTTTATTTCTAAGGTACATTTCTTGCTCCATGGATGTGTGTTTCATTCTATTCTCTAAGAAAAACGTTTTTCTAAGGCTTAAGTTTATAAATTAAAGCTTACTTTGTTTTGTTTTGAAAGTGATTGTAAATATGGTTCCATGGAAATGGAGTAAAAGGATAAAACTAGATTCTCCACTATGATTTCTTTTGACATTGTTTTCACAATTCCAAATATCATGTGAGCCTGTACATAAAGGCAAATTGGGCTCAGTTTCTTATTGTGACTTAGTATTCTGTGATACTGTGTCAGCTGTTGTATTGTTACTTGATTTTTTTGATATTTTTATATTCATTTTTTATATTCTAGGAAACTTGAATGTTACCCTTCAAATTTGGGATATAGGAGGGCAGACAATAGGAGGCAAAATGTTGGATAAATATATCTATGGAGCACAGGTATGATATGAATTCTGATTATTCCAGTATTGAAAGTATAGCATTTACAAGCACATATGCAAATCTACACCCAAATGCACATACACACACACATACTTTCTTTCTAACTTTTTATCTGATATGTAGAGAGAATAATTTTATGTTTGTGCTAGTCCTTTGGTTTCATTCTCTCCAAATTATGTTTGGAATGATTTGGGTGAGGGAATAGGAAAACTCTTTAACAGCTTTCGTATGGTATTTATATTACTAGGTGTTATTGTTAGCAGTTCAATAAATGCAGTGATAAATGATATTTTGATATTTATTAGCTGGTTTGGTTATAGTGACTACTTTCAAATAAACTGAATGAAAAATACAGGGATGAAAATTTAACTTCATTTTAAGTTACAAGGACTAAAAGCATATCTATTTGTCTATATTTTTGTGTAATGAATATTGATAGCTTTTCAGATTTAATAGACATGTCAATATTTTCTATCAGATAACTAAATATGACAGTGTATATGTGAAACACGTACAATAATTTATGATAATGCTGTATTTTCAGAAGAAAATCCATGTAGAGCAAGAAAAATGAAAGTGAAAAATGAAAAATGACCTGAATAATTACATAAATTTGGCCACATGAGCTTATATTCTCCATGAGCTTATATTGATATAATTTATAAGATTTTAAATAAAGTTATTATACAAATAGAAAATATACAGGGTGGTAATATACTTTAAAAAGTTAATCATTTCTCTCTGAGCATGTTCACTGAAGAATTGTCTTTTTAATATTTGGCAGATTGCTTTTGATTAAATGACACACTTTAGAAATGCAGTAATACTATTGAAAGTAATCATCCGATGAAGTAGAGAATATGGTATATAGCCAAATATTAAGTACGTTGTGCTTACTGAGCTCTGTATGTAATACTTGATGTGCTATTTCTTTATTTTTGCTTTTTTAAATTAGTGTGTATCTTCTACATCATCTGGGGACATAGGGGTAGTAGTAAAAATTTTTAGTTCTTTATTAGAGTTTGGTATTTTAAGTGGGACAAATATAACTTGGTTATGTGGAACCATGTTGCTCATAATAAATGATTCTATAGGGTGGAGATATAGTAGGTTAAGCACTGCTGTACAAAGTTTGGTTCATGTCAAGTACCATTGCCTTGATTGTGGATGAAAAATAGATTCTGATTTATTTTATAAAATATTCAGAGAAGGACAGTATGGTTATAGAGGCTAATATGGTTGTGAATCACATATAAAGGCCCTAGAGTTTTGATTTTTTACATTGCTGATATAGAGATTTGGCTCTTAATGCTCTTATCTTTTATACATGGTTCTTTGTCTCCTGCAAAATTTTTCTGTTCACATTTATAGCATTTTCATCTGTGGTTAAGTGACTTGATATTTTATGCATGTTCATTTTTCTCTTAAAAAGTACATCTCAGAATTTTGTATATGGCTTTTTTGTTTTATTTATTTATTTATTTTTCTGTTTTAAACTGATTAAAGTGGATACTAAGCTAGATAAAACTTGCTGGACAGAGATTTGTGGGAAGCCACAGTTCTTGTTTCATTCATGTGGTTGATAACATGGGAAAATAACACTCTTATCTTTGTTCCATAAAATCTGTCTATAAGGCCACATATAGGATTTTTAAGAAAATGAAGATTCGATCTAACTTCTAATGAAATTTGACTCTTGGTGTCAAATGGAATAGTCTTTTATGATTTATAGGTGCAACCAGAGTTAGTGGAGAACAGGAGCACTTTATGCATTTCAGGGTAAATAATAATATATAATTCAATTAATACATTTTTCTTTCCTTAAAAATTAGGGGAATATTATGCTCATGTGTTGAATTCTATTAATTCTATCTTCAAATCATTTAAAAAATTATTATCTAATTTATTTAAATTATTTAAAATTTATTACTATTATATAAAAATTAATATTGATGTGAAATTTGTGTATTATAAAGTTAACCATTCTAAAGTGTAATAATCAGCTATATGCAGTGGCTCATGCCTGTAATCCCAGCTAATTGAGAGGCACAGGTGGGAGGATCACTTGAGCCCAGGATTTTGAGGTTTCAGTGAGCTGTGATCACACTACTGCACTTCAGTCTGGGTGACAAGTGACACTCCATCTTTAAAAAACAAAATAAATAAAAAATAAATTATATAATCAGTATCATTTAGTGTACTCACAGTATTTTGTGACCATTTCCTTAAGTCAGTTTTTGACAGTATATATTTTATGTTATTACAAAGCTGCCTACGATCAGCAGACATTAATGAGAACATTGGTAGACATTTCAAGAATTTCCATCTTTTTTGAAAGTCCATAAGTTTAGTAAAATGTCTTCATTATTTTTTAAGGTACTTTATTTCTTGGGAGAAAGTGAATGTTATATTTCTTAGAACTTGTATAAGGTTTCTATCTTGAAGGTACATACTGACTTTTTTCTCTTTTGGTAGTGCGTTTTATTGTTTATACTTTACGATTGCTGTGACACTTATATTCATGTACTGTGTTTTTATTAAACAACAATGTACAGTATTTCTGAGAAATTCATGAATCTTTCTATGAAATTGCCTGACAAAACTGGGAATTCTGAGATGATGAAATGAATTGTTAAAAATAGATGATAGGGCATGGGGGCAGGCACTTGTAGTCCTTGCTACTTGAGAGACTGATATGGGAGGATCACGTGAACCCAGGAGTCTGGGGACTGGAGTGAGCTATGATCATGCCATTCTACTCCAGCCTGGGTGAAAGAGCGAGACTCAGTGTATAAAGAAAGAAAAAAAAGGATGATAATATAATAATTTTTTCTGCTTTCCAGAGATTCCAAATAAATGCTGTGTTAAGTGCATAAAGTCATTGACCAGTGGTCTATTTTGTTAAACTATTTTTAAATTCTATATCCAGGCTAGAGAGGCTGTGACTCATTATTTACTACTATAAATTGGAGAAAATGTTACTTTTCAAAACCAGTGATTTCAAAAACATCCTGATAGCATTTTAATAAACTCAATAATTTTATATAATAATATAATTATTCTTCAAAGTAGATCTATATTGCTTCTGGAGTTATAGATGCTTTATATTACCTATCTCATGAGTACTTTAGATTTTGGTATACTACAGGACAGAAATCTTCCACAGAAATGTTGAGACAAGCTTTTTCAGGATATCGGTTTAATGTGTTATTTAGGGTTTATTTTAGGTTCTCTAACTTCTGTAACTTCTGTATTGTATATAGAAAGAATTATACATGTCTGGGTCATTAAACTAATCAATCTGTTTCTTTAAAGCATTTCTTAACATCTGCATAGAAGCTTATTTGTAGGCTGGGAGTTAAGTTGGACCCAAATAAAACTGATTATTTTACCCTCTTCACTCCCCTTACCCCCAGCAACATTTAAACGTTAGCAGTAGCCTATTGAAAGTGTTGGTGAAAACTAAATTGAATTGACACCCCAAAAAGAATTAGTGAGGTATTTTGCAAGAACTAGTTCTGAGAATTGAAATATGTCCCAGTTAAATTCCCAGATTTTAAATTAACTTAAAAATTTCTAGGAGTCTTTAGAAAGATGTTATAGGCGATTTTTCATAGTGGTTAAGAGCAAACACACAGTACATAGTGTTTAGTGCCCTGTAACCTGTGGCTAACAGAGGCTAATAACAAACCTCAGAGAAGGACTGGATGTTTCATTTTTGTAGCTCTTTCTGTCCTGGAATCTAAGTGGTTTGCAAACACTGACCCACTGAGCATAAACTCAATGAAGTGTAGTCACTTGTGAGGTAGAACATAACCACTATTATGTACCAGTGGCCCCACACAGATGAGCCTGCTTTTTAAGTACCAACAAAAGGATTTGGTGCCTACATGACAGCTAGGGAGAGGGTGCATCTTAAAACTGGACTCTGCAAGACCTTCTGCTCTCTTTTGCTGTAAGTTTTTTAGTTGGATATTTGCCAACTTATAACATGTTTGTGCACTTTCTTTGCGTGTTTCTTACAGGTTATACTTATAAAGCAAGATATATGTTGTTAATGGCTATTATATAATCTGTATGATTTAATTCATTTCTATATATAACTGAAAAACTAAAGCAGATTATTTGTCTTGCATATAAGGGAGAAAACAAATAACCTGCATTTTGGGACTGGGAAACCTTTCATTTTTTGAGAATGTTAAACAGTAACAGTGTGTGTACTGTGTTTAGCACATGTTACACTGAAGAACTATATCTATGCAATGCTTTACAAGACTGTTACTTGGTAGGCATCAGTGTTTGTTCTTTCAAAACTTCTATCAAGGCCAGGTCAGTGGGTCATAATCCCAGCGCTTTAGAGGGCCAAGGCAGGATAATTGTTTGAAGTCAGGAGCATGAGACCAGCCTAAGCAACATAGTGAGACCCTTTCTCTACAAAAAATTTAAAAAATTAGCTGGGCACTGTGGTATACGCCTGTAGTCCTAGCTACTAGAGAGGCTGAGATGGGAGGATTATTTGAGCCCAGGAGTTCGAGGCTGCAGTGAGCCATGACTGCATTCCAGCCTGGGGAACAGAGCAAGACCCCATCTCTTAAAAAACAAAAATGCTGTCAATTATTACCTTGAAAATGGTATCCATTTGATTTACTCTCTCATAATGCTTATTAGATATGGTGGTGAGTGCAATAGATGAAAACAAACTACTATATAAACTAACATTATATAATATTTACTAAAAATCTTGATGTTTACAAAATACTATGGATGGTAGTATTTTCTTGGAATCGAAGTTGGAGGAAGGCAGTTAAGGCATAAAATGAAGGAAACTGTTGTTGAAGAGGGATTTGTTAAACTTGAAATCTGATTTCCAAAGGTCATGTAGAAGATTTGGGAAGAAGAGCAGCAGCTGAAAGGTAAATTGGGAAGTGGAAGGAAAGGATGGTATGGGGTTGAAGACATAGGAGAGAGATAAATGTCAGATATGTGGTTGATAACAA